CAAGATCGAAGTGCTCCTGCGCCGTCTGCAAGTGTGCCCGCAGGTCGTCGATGCGGCTCTTGATGCTCTCGGTGCGGTCGTCCAACGCGCGGAGCAACGCCAGGTCGAGATGGCCCTCGTCCGCGGACGAATCATCGCCGGCCGGGCGGCCGATCGCCGCGGCCTCGAATGGGTCGTCGAGCGCGCTGCGGATCAAACTCAGCATCTCGTCTCGCTGCGTCCGCTGCTGCAGTAGCACAGCGCCCTTCACCTTCTCGTCGAAAACGTCGCGGGCACTGAGGAGCGCCGCCACGGCGGTGAGCGACTTGCCAGTGCCTGGGCACGCCTCGCAAAAGAAAGCGCCTCTCTTGGAGGCTGCCATGCACTCTACGAGGGACATCTGGTCGGCCGTCAAGTTCTTGACCAATTTCTGAGCGACCGCTGCCGCGGCGCCCGTCGTCAGCCCCGACAGATGGTTGGCGCCGTCGGGCTCGAGTTCGGCCGCGCAGCAGTGGGCGGGGAGCAGCGCGCGGCAGGCCGGCGACGGCACCTCGCCCAGGCTCCCGAGAAGAACTCCGATGGCATTGGACTCTGCCCCGACGTAATCACCTATGCAGACGAGCACCCGGCCAGATGCGAACGAGCCTCGCTGGAGGCGAAGGGTTTGTCGATCCTCGCCCACCGCGGACGCGCGCATGTGGAGTTCGCCGAAGTGCGCTGCGCGCGCGAACAACGGCCCCTTCTTGCCGCCTGTGATGTCCAGAATCTTCTCCGCCGCGGCCTTGAGGGCGCCCTCCTCGACCACCAGCGCCATGCGATCGCGGACGTTCAAGGGCGCGTCCACAGGAACCACCAGGTGCACGAGGTCGCTGGAGTCGTCGTCATCGAGCGCGCCGTTGACTCGGATCAGACCTCCCTGCCCGGCGTAGGCGATGTCCCCGCTGAGGAACTCCTGGACGGCGGAGTTCTTCAGCTGATGCATCGCGTCGGGGAACCACTCTGTCATGGGCGCGACGTCGCCGAAGCGAGGCTGGCGACTGCGGAAAGAAACCGTGCCGCACGTGCAGCGGTCGCCAAGCATGTCGCCGAGGCCTCGCACGCCTCTGGCAAAGCGCGACCGGCAAGGGTCACTCGATGCCAACCACTCCTCCAAGTCGGAGAAGCCCAGCTGCACGGGCGCGCCTCCGCGAAGAGTTCGCTCCATCACCTGGCTCAGCGCCCGCACTTTTGATGCCTCGTCGCGGAGCGCTGTCTTGAGCTGCGCGCGGTGCCCGTGCATCTGCTCCTGCATCGCCATCCAGATGGAGCTCAGCGCCGACGCGATGCCAGCAGCGTTCTCGTCGCTCAGGACGACCGCCAAGCTCGAGCGACGGGGCTGGCTGGATAGCGCGGTCACTGTTCGCGCCACCTCCCCGGCGGGCACTGCGCGCGCGCGCGACTGCGCCCACCGGGGACAGCTCTTAACGGTTCGGCGGCCCAACTGCGGCTGGGCGATGGCATTCATGGTCGGCCACTGAACTGGGCGACTCAACGCCACCACCGCCACGGAAAGGACCTTGGCGCAGCGATCGGTCGCTCTGAATCCGTATTCCAGCGGCGCGGCCAAGTCCCGCGCGTCGACGGCGACAGCCGAGGCGACTCCGCTGCCCCAGTCGCCAGGCTCGAAGCCGAGCCTCTCCAGCGGCGCACCGCGCGCCGCGATGTCGGGCAGCAAGTGGTTGAAACGCACCAGGATCTGGCGAGAGACAGAAGCGGCCATTGATGACAACGAGACGATAGGACAGCAAAGCTGGTCCTACAGTTACTGATAGTGGACAGGCCAGCAAAGCTGAGCCACGCCAAGACGCGGAAAGTGAACAGGCCAGCAAAGCTGAGCCACGTCAGTAAGATCTCACAGATACAAGATTGAGCCAACGGCAGTCATATACAAGGCAACCCATCTAAACATGTTTTGCAATTGCACGCGCGTCGACCTATCATCAATTATCTGGCAAATCTGTTATATGACGAGTCTGTTATTACGGGATACATACTATCTGGCACATGTGTCATCTGCAAGTCGGTATTTCGGAAAATGTGATGAGTGGTGAACCCTGTTATCTGGCAAACCCGTTTTCGGGCAACCATGTCTCTGGCAAACCTGTTATCACGGACACGCGTCATCAAGCGAACCTGCAATTTTCCAAACCCGTCATCTGGCAAACATGTTATCATGCAGCTATGCTATCATGCAAACGTGTTGTATGATGCATACATGTTATATGGCAAACCCGTCATCGGGCAAACAAGGTATCTGGCAAACCTGTTATCACAGAAATGGGTAATCAAGTGAACCTGTAATTTTGGCAAGTGGCGGTACATATACGAGACGCGCAGTATATGCGAGTCGTTACATACAAATCGCGGCGTAAGTGGCCGGACAACCTTGGGCCAATGCATCTCCGAGTTCAGCATCTGGGAACCTTGAGTTGCGAGAATGCTTCAAGCGAAACGGCTTGAATGCCTGAGCTCAGGGCGTCTCTGAATCTAGAGTTGCGAGGATGGCTCAGGCGGAAGTGACCAGACCATGATGGAGCAGGAGGCCGGTTGATTCGCATGGGGGGCCGCGACCCGTTAGAGCGTCCAAGATGACCCAAGAGGGGGTTCCAGATTGCCTCCGAGTTCGCCCAAGATGGTCCAAGATGGCCTCGACGACGGCCCAAGAAGAGGGTCCAAGACGCCTCCGCGTTCACACAACAAGCCTCCAATACGGCCCCAGAGGCCTCCAAGACGGCCCAAGAGGCCAACAACAACTTCTCTTGGAGGCCCCGAAGAGGCCCAAATCATCGATCACCCAAAAATGTTTGGAGGGGTTGTGCATTTTCTTCTTCGGTCTTCCGACGGCCACCCTACTGCGACGCAGAACTAACGCCGCGCATTTTTCCCCCGAAGCTGTGCGAACGCAGCCAAGGGGAAAAATCCAGAATAAATGAAAGCTGCACTTCCAGAGCAGTCCACGACAGTACGTCTTTTCCGTGACCAAGGCTAGTTGATTTGCATGGGGAGCCGCGGCCCCTCTGCTTTTGACTATTGCCTCCGCCCCCTGCTCCTCGTATTCCTGCTATTCCTCCTCGCCCTCCTCCTCGTTCTCCTCCTTCTCCTCCTTCCACTTCTCGTCCTACTCTTCCTCCTCTCCCTCCGCTCTCCTACTGCGACGCAGAACTGGCATCGCGCATTTTTCCCCCGATACTGCGCGGACACAGCTCGGGGGGGAAATCCAGCGTAAGTAGGAAGCTGTACTTCCAGGGCAGTCCACGACAATACATGTTTTCCCTGATCAAGGTTGCTGGATGCGCATGGGGGTGTTCTCCCTTATCGAGTTTAGTTGATTCGCATAGGGGGGCCGCGACCCGTTAGAGCGTCCAAGATGACCCAAAAGGGGGGTCCAGATTGCCTCCGAACTCGCCCAAGATGGCCCGAGATGGCCCCGGCGACGGCCCGAGAGGGTCCAAGACGGCCTCGCGTTCACCCGGCGGGCCTCCCAGACGGCCCCAGAAGCCTCCAAGACGACGCAGAACTTGCATCGCGCATTTTTCCCCCGAAGCTGCGCGGGCGCAGCCCGGGGGAAAAATCAAGAATAAATGCAAACTGCACTTCTAGAGTCGTCGTTTCACAATGGCCGCGCCGGGCTCAGGCCGCCGAAATAATTTAATTATTTGAGTGAAAATAATTAATCCAGACGGGTTAATTACATTAATGAAAAAAATTCGGCTGAAAAATAAAGGCCCCCAGGAATTCCTGGGGGGAATCAGAAAAATAAATAAATGAAATTAATGGCATAAATAAAACTAAGTGTAATAATTTAATCATTTTTATATTTCATTTATTGTGTTCATATTGTAAATAATTACAATAATCCAACTAATTCTATTTATATTATTTATCTCGCTTATTTCATTTTTTTCCTGGCCTCCTCGCGCAGGCCGCGCCGGGCTCAGGCCGCCGAATTAATTTAATGATTTCAATTAATTCGGCTACGGATGAGGATCCGCAGGATCTCCTCCAGGGAGGCCAGAAAAATAAATAAAAAACATATGCTTGTTTCCCTCTCACCCGTGAGGCTTTGTGCGTGTGTCGCCGCGCCAGTGCGCGCGCGCGGCCGCCGGCCGCGTTCAGTGCAGCTGTGAGGTCACTGCGGGAGAGAAGCCTCGGGCTTCCACCGCGCCCCTGTGGGCAACGGCCACCCGCGGAGCGCAGAAGGCCCTTAAGAGAACCTCCCGCGCACATGACTGATGCGAGAGAGCGGGTAGGCCCGCCACCCCATACTCTAGGGAGCAGGGGCCACTCGCCGGGATCGGGAGCGCAGGTATGCCTGCAGTCGTTGCTGTACGCTGGGTGTTCCCAGACATCCCGATCACTGCTTCCAAGGCTAAGCCTTAAGAGGCACCGCCTGGGGAAGCACGCGAGAGAGCGGGTAGGCCCGCCACCCCCTACTCCAAGGAGTGAGGGCCACTCGCATGAGCGCCAAAGCAGGAAAGCCTGCTGCCATGGTCTCGCAGCACGGTGGCCTCCGAGCCTCCGAAAATCCCCCTCCCACCAAAGCCTTACGAGGCTCTTAGAAGAGGTGGAGACGGGGCGGAGGAGGGAGCCGCAAACAGCTATGGAGAACGAGATATTTCGTGACAATTTCGTTGCAATCTCTCTGCTGACTGGCTGTGCCGCCTCCCTGCTCAAGGGAAAAAGCATAACGCCCGGATCATGATCCGTGTACATATGCTTGTTTCCCTCTCACCCGTGAGGCTTTGTGCGTGTGTCGCCGCGCCAGTGCGCGCGCGCGGCCGCCGGCCGCGTTCAGCGCAGCTGTGAGGTCACTGCGGGAGAGAAGCCTCGGGCTTCCACCGCACCCCTGCGGGCAACGGCCACCCGCGGAGCGCAGAAGGCCCTTAAGAGAACCTCCCACGCACATGACCACCTCCCCCTTCTTCAAGGGAATAGGAAGAAGAAATAACAACTGCCGCCAGCTTCCCTGAGACGATCCCGCGTCAAGGAGCACGCGACACTACGGCACAGCCAGGCCCCCCGCCACCTCGACCAGGGTGGGCAAGTAGGGGGGGCAGGCAATGGACGGCGCGGCGCAGCCGTTCTTGTCCTTGCTCTGGCACAGACCAAGAGCCAACGTCAACCATCGCTTGGTCAATGTAGCCTCGCGCGGGCTTCAAGGAACCCCACCTTCCCAAACTTTGGGTGGCGTCATAACTCCCAAACGCGGTAAAGTGCCAGGTCGCGCCCCCGCGCCTTAGACAGTACGGGGTCAACCTCTGGCTCTCCAGACCGAAGAACCGAGCCAAACATGTGATGTGCTGTTGGAGGGCCACGAAGTTGCCAGGGAAAAGGGTCTCGTCATCGCCAAGCGGAGTCAGGACACGAAGTAGGAGTGTAATTACCAAAGGGTCGTACAATGTAACGTGCTCGACTTGGCCGTGCCGCTTTGCCCCCTTACTGTCAGGGAGTGCAATGACTACCGCAGCCCCTCCACCGATGACGGTAAATTGACGTTTCGTAACAGCGACAATCTCTCCAGATCGGAGAAGGCCGGTGAAACCGACCAGCAGAGCGGTCGCTGTGCGAGGCCAGTGCCTGAGGAGAGCGACTGTGGCCATGCCTTGGACCATATCACTGGAGATCGGCAGCGCTCGCCGGCGCCGCGATGAATGAGCCCAATTTGTCATGTAAAGCGTGGCGGTTTCCAGCTTTCGCTTTGAGCGGGGAAAGAGGCGCTTGAAACCGCACGCCAAGTCGTTACCCCAATACTGCGGCAAATCGTCTTGGTAAAGGTGGTCGATATACTCTCCATTGTCCAACTCCTCGAAAGTTTCGGGGATGCGAATTCCGTTGCAAGCAAGATGAGAAAAGAAACGATGAATGGCGCGGCGATAGCGAACGATTGTTACCGGCTGAATGTTGACGTACTTTATGTGTGCTTTACGTGGACCTGGGACCCGGCGCCTTTCAACCGGCATCGTCGGCAACCGGAGCCCCCTCCAGCAGCCTACTGGCTGCATCGGTCGAGTTCCAGCCGCTGATGGTCCACGAGCACAGCGCGTACAAATCAGCCGCCAACGCTACTGCCGCATACCGCCGCAGGGGTCGATTGAGCACCCTCGCGCTCGAACGCCCCTTGGCCGCAACACAAGATGCAACCCGGGAGTCAAATATATGGAAGAACCGCTCTCCATGCCGGTCCGGGCTGGAGACGCGTGCCCGGACGTAAGTCAGAAATGCAATAAATTCTAAGACGTTGATGTGCTGCGTCTGCCGCCAAGCATAACGCTGCACCACGTGCCAATCCCAAACAGGAGCGGGGTACGGCAGCAGTTGCGGGGACCCGTCCAGGAGGGTGCTGGAAAGAAGTCTTACATCTGAGCCCCTGTAATCAGTGACTCCAAGAAGACTCCTGAGATGTGCCAGCTCCTGACCTTGGGCCAGCGCGCCCATCATACGATCTAGGGTTGACACGGCTTCGGCCTGCACCATGCTTTCTTGGAGACGGTTGGTGCTGGCGGCCAGGCTGCGGGCTACCCAGTCAGCCCGCTCCCCTGGCTGAGCCGGAAGGGAACCCATGCGAAGCTCGCGAAGTGCACTTTCGACCAACTTCGCGTACGCGTCGCAGAACTCGAACGGGTAGAACGCCTCCTCTTCGATGTAGCAGGCTGGGAGGTCGCTCGCCCCGCGCAGCACCCGAGCGTGTAAGCCGCAGCGGCTGCCGTCGAAAGCGCGGTGAAGAGCCTCGCAATTGTGTAACATACCCAAGCCAAAACGGCATGAGCCACCGAAGCAGCACGGCCAAACTGTCGTGAAAAAACACACCCTCCGAGCGAAACAAGACGCCCGCGAGAGGGAGTTCCCACCCAGAACCTCCGAGCGGATGCATTACAACGGCCACCCCCCAATGGAGGAGACGATGCTGCAAGCGCTCGAGGGCTCGCGCGAACGCTGCGTTACGACGCCGCGTCCTGCGCTGGTGGTGGCCCGGCTGCCATGCCCCCTTCCGTTCATTGCCGCGCACGTGCCAACCAGGGAAGGCCCAATGCTCGAATGCGACGTCGTCACAATCGAACTCTGGCTCTCGGGCGAGCGCGGCATCGTAGCAGCAGGCAAAGGCTGGGCCCCCGACTGGAGGCTGGGCGACGGGCACCCCGCGAACCGCGCAAGCCCACGAGAGCGGCGCCTCAGGGCCAGCAAGCCCTTCGCCAAACTGCGAGGGGCGGATCCCCTTCCCGAAACACGGCCCACCGCGATGAGCGGCCAAGCATTGCAGGGAACAGAAATCCCCAGGGCACCCCAGCGGGCACGCGGCCCAACGTCGGAAGGCCGGCTCGCGTCCGCCACAAACCGAGCAGGCGTAAACCTTGGGGCGCGGCTGCAGGAACGGCTCCTCCGCTAGGCCCGCGGACCAGGCCTCAGCGAGCTCGGGGCGGCCCGGCCCAAGCATGTCGACGAAGCGCGTCGCCTCGGCAGCCCCGCCCCCGCTCTCCGACGCGTCAGAAGTGCTCGCGACGCCTGAAATGCGCGCGCGGAGGTTCACGAAGGCAAGAGGCAACAGAGCTCCACCGACTAAGACTTCGTCCAGGACGCTGTCCGGGGGAACCTGCGCTCCCCCCGCGAGGGCGCAGTTCTGGATGAACGGGAAAACGTCCTGCAGCACAGAGAATAACGGCCTCCTGGAACCCGCCGCGAAGCAGAAGAGGCCCGACCAGTGCTGAGCCTCCCCTGCCGACCAGGTGGGCTCGCCTGCAAGCACGAGGCACTTCGTTATGAGCTTCAAGGACTTTTCCCTACTGTGGAGCAGTCGCCCCCGCAACCCGTCGAGCTCTCCGCCCAGGATGCCGGCCCGTAACGCACGGACCAACGATTTGCCTGCATTCAGGGGTATCCCCCGGGAGCGGCACGCCGCCACGAACCTCTCCATGGCCGGGGGGCGACGCTCGCCAGGCGACGCCTCCGCGACCTCATCCAATAATACTTTTACCTTGGACAAGTGGTCGAAACCGTCCATGCACACCACGGCGACGTCGTCCGAGGGCACGCGGCTATCCTTGCGTAACTCGGTCCCTGCAGGGACAGCCGCAGTCTGGAACACCAGCGACCGGGCCATGAACTGCATGACGTCCACGGCGCCAACCCACCCCATCGGGGCGGCACGCATCCCCACATAGGTCATGATGTTGGCATCCCCTCCGAATGCGCTCATGGGCACCTTCTTCTCGAATGTGAACATGCCCAACCAAGAATCTGGCATATAAAATAAATTGAAACATGACTCCATATCTTCCGAATCTACCAGAAAAATTTCGTCGTCCTCCAAAACCGTCAACCCAAGTTGGCCAACATACGGAAGGAGCCTACTATCGCCCCGGAGGCGCCTCAAGAACGCATTAATGGGGACAAAGACGCAGATGAACCTCATAAGCTCAACTTTCTCGCCCCCGACATGCTTGATTTTGTCTACGCCCATCGCGCCGTTCAAAACCCGTTGTCCCTTCCCATCGCGGAAGACGCTGCCGTCGTCGACCGGCGCGAACATCCCGCGCGCGCTGGCCGCGCGCACCAAGCTATACCACTCGGCATCCTCCGCGTGGACGCGCGAGCGCGGCGTGACCGCGGGCCACTCGACGCGAGGTAAGAGACGCCGATCGGGGTGCAGAAGATCGCCCCGGAGCTCCTCCGACACGAAATCGACGATGGGCAGGATGCACGCTTTCTCTGGCGACGGCCATGCAGGAATAACTTTTGCCGAGATCAAGTCCCGACGCCTAGAGACGACCTCCCCGGAGTAGCCAACCCTCTTGCTACGTGGCTCATCCCGGACATCGCCGGCATCGAAGGGGGTTACGGAGGCGCCCCACAAGTCCGCAGCTGCTTCCCGCAGATGGGCCAGCGTCCGGCGCTGCGCTCCAGTCAGAGCCGGGGCGGGGGACAAGCACACCGGAGTTGCCGCCCAGCCTGCGCACGACAAGTAATTCAAGGCGTGCAAAGAGGCCTTGGCAAGGAGAAGGGTTCCCTCGCCTGCCTCGGTGCCCGCGCCGCGAGCACCGCCCGGCTCTCTCCAGAAATCTTCGGCGAGGTCCAAGCTGAGGGGCAGAAGTTCGAGCCTTGGCAGCCCCCTCCCCGGAGCTCCCGCGGCCGCTTGGGGAGGAGAGCCGTTTTCCAACCTGCTGGCACGGCCGCCACCGCCGCGCAATCGCAGCCAAAACTGCCCCAAACGACTGGGCTCATGCAAAACTGCCGTCGCCAAAACTGCGAGACCCTCATGAGAGTCCCGGCACCGCTCGGCAGCATCCCGAACGAGCGCCTGCCACTCGGCCCGCCCACTGGCGGACGCAAGCTGCGCTCTCAAACGGAACGCTACGCCCAGGGGTAACCTCACTTGGTCCTGCTCCCCTTCGCCTTCGTGTGCTTGCCGCCCTTGCTCGTGCCCTTGTCCTCCTGGTAGTGACCCTTGTCCTTCCCCCCTTTTCCGGAGCCCCACGAGGCGCCCCCGTAGTTCCCCCAGCCGCTGCTGGAGCCAGATCCTTTTCCTACCCCGCTCAGCTTCCGCTGGGTGCTCACCTCCTGGGCAACCATGGCCTCCTCCGCCTGGCTGGTGAACGTTGTGTCGTCCTTCTCCGCCAGCTCCAAGAATTGCGCCCTCTCCCAATGGCCGCCCCTGCTGGCCATCTCGACTGATTTCAGCCTCATGGTCAAGACGTCCGCCGCGAAGGCCGTCCTTCCCAGGGCAAGATGGTCCAGCGCGACGGTCAGAGTGGCCATCTCCCGGTTGTTCCGCAGCCCCGCCCCCGTGAGAGGCTTCAACACGCGAAGGTAATAGGACTTCGCGGCTGCTGGGTGCTCGTACTTGTCCCAGGCGATCGCCTCCCCCTCCCTGACCTTGTCCGCCATTTGCTGCAAGGAGCGGCAGGACAACAGGCCCGGATGTTTCCGAGCCCAGGCCAGGAGCCGCGCCTGGGAGTCGCGGCTCTTGGAGGAGAAGGCGTCGTGAAAAGACGAAGATGCGGAAGATGAGCGACGGCGCGAATGGTCACGGGATGACCGGCTCCTCGTTCTGGCCCGCCTGGCCCGGGACGGAGACCTCGAGCGCCTGCGGTGCCGGCGCCGACGCGCACGGTTGCCCTGCGCTGCCGCCGTGGCCTCGGCTGAGGTCGCGAACGCCTGGCCCCGGGTTGCCGCGCGCGGCGCCGCCACGAGCCGCTGCCGGCCCTGGCTCCGCTCCCGGACGCGCGCGCGACCTTCGCGGCTCCTTCCCCGGCGCCGCTCGCCGTCGAGGCCGTTGCCGTCGCCGCGATCGTCATGCTCTCCGGCCCTCCAGCCGCGATCGGGGTCAGGACGACGCCGCCGGGCCAGAGGCGACCGCGAGGGGTCGCGCCCGCGGCCGCCCCAGTCCGCCGGACGAGCCGGCGGAGCTTTACTGAACGCCCCCGCCTGCTCACCCCGGCGATCCCGGTCGCGAGGCGCATCCCGACGCGGAACGCCGCCTCTCTCCACGCTGTCCGCGAGGCGCCGGAGATCGTCTGAGATGTCGTCTGGGCGCCTCCCACCAATCAGCCTCGGCCTCGCTGCATCCCCGTGCTCCTCCTGACGACCCCCATCACGCGGCTCGCTGGCGCGGGGGGTAGCAGGAACGGCTCCGCCCCCGTCCAGAGCGGCCGGGGCGCCTTCCAGCGGTACCAAGTTGTCGAAGATCTCCTTCTGGCGGGGCTCCGTAAGCCACGGCACGGCCTCCAGGTTGGGCCGCTCCCCGGCCTTGCCAAGAACACGCCAGCGGTAGACTGGCGTAACCATGCGGCCCCGGAAAAGAATCTCGTCGTCGCCCCCCTTCCCTGCCGTAGCCCGGTGAAGCCCAGGGTTGGCCGGCTGCGAGCTCTCGAAGAGCCACCAACTGTAGTAGCCGCCCTCGACGGCGTGCAGCTTGGCCTCGAAGAGCCTGGCCCGAGGACCATGCTCCAGTACTTGTAGAACCCCTGTTCCACAACCTGCCCCAAACTGATCGCCCTCGTGCCAGAGGCCGACCTCAATAACGTCGCCTATCTCCCACACGGCGCGTTCCGCTTCAAGAGCGTCTATATCTGGTCCTGTCCACCCGCCCGCAGCCGCAGCGGCCGCGGCGCAGAGCCCTGCGCCGGATGCCACCCTCGAGAGGATGGCAGAAGAGGGTGGGCCGCGCAAGAAAGGGGAAGCGGGTGAAAGGGAAGCACCTTGAAAAGAAAGCTGTGCCTAAAGCTCGAGCCGCAAACAGCTATGGAGAACGAGATATTTCGTGACAATGTCGTTGCAATCTCTCTGCTGACTGGCTGTGCCGCCTCCCTGCTCAAGGGAAAAAGCATGACGCCCGGATCATGATCCGCGTGCATAAAATAAATATTTTTTTTTTTAAAAAAAAATATATAATTGGTTTAATCAATTTAATTATTTTATTTATTTTATTTATTGTCTTCAGACTAATTAAATAATGACATTGCTTCAATTAATTTAATTTATGTTGTTTCATGTTTAATTCATGTATTTTATTTATTTTTCTGCCCCCCCCGCGCAGGCCGCGCCGGGCTCAGGCCGCCGACTGAATTTAATGATTTCAATTAATTGAAGTAATCCATACGGGTTAATTAAATTAATTAAATTAATCGGGCTGCGGGCGAGGGCCCCCGGGGTTTCTTCCAGGGGAGAAGAAGAAGAAGAAGAAAAATAAGAAGAAGAAGAAGAAGCGGTCTGCTGACCGGCCGCGGCGGGCCGGGCCCCTGACGGCGCGCGGATGCGCGCCTGGGCAGACCGAGTGAGACTGGCAATCAGACAGACAAGCCACGCACCAGGCGGCGCGTGGGCGTGAACACATGTGGAAAATACAGCGTTCTCTTACTCGGACAACAGGACAGGCCGACAAAGAGAACGCGGGCAAGGCAAGGAACAGGGGCCGACGGGGAAGCGAGGAGCCGAGGAGCGAGAGGGAAAGGGGGCGAGGAGGGACGACAGGAAAGGACAGAACAGGCCGACGGACGGACAGACGAGGAGACGGGGAAGGGAAGGGAAGCCAAGCGAGGAGACGGAGGGAGAGCACACAAGACGCAAGGGCAAGGAAACGCAAGGGCAGGGGGGGGAGGACACGAAGAGGGGGAGGAGGGAGGAGGAGCCGAGAGCCAGAGACAGGACAAGGCAGGAAGAAAGGACACGCAAGGCCAGCTGGCTGGGCGCACAAGTGGCACTAACGGAAGACTTGCTGCAATCCTGGCTTTGCCATGTTGCTTGTTTGTGGCAATACGAATGAGATGCTTATATAATCAGAGACCGGCGACCAGAGTCTCAAAGGTCGTCCGCCCAGCGCTGGCACGGTCTCCCTGGGCGCCTGCATGCCTGCGTCCTGAACCATGGGGCCCAGTGCAGCAGCCGCGTGTTCCATTTCCCCAGCGTGCACGAATCTGTGTTAAAGGCGAATCTCAATTTCCTGCTCGTCTGTGTCGCAACCCAGTCGCCCAATCCTCGCTGGCGGGCTTTCTGCTCGCACAAGCGGGTGGATCCTCTGATGTAGTCAACCCACCCCTCCTCGCTCCAGCGCGGGATCTGGAAGATTTTCCTGAGCATTTTGCGCCATGTTCCTCGCAGAATACGACGATGCTCAACGTTCATCGTCCAGCACGAGCTTCCATATAAGGCGGTCGAAGTCACGACTGAATCAAATAGCTTCAGTCTCGCAGATAATGGGCACCTCCGTGAGCACAGAGCATGGCGGAACTTGGCAAACGCTCTCCATGCAATGGACATGCGATTCGAAATTTCTGCTCCATGATAATCCTCCAGATTGATGACTCGGCCCAGATACTTCTCGGACCCGCCCGGCGGAATGATCTCTACCTGGGACCCACCAATAAGCACAGAGCTGCCCGCGTAGCCCGGGCGGTTCGTCAGGATCGTCTTGCCGAGGTGGACGCGGAGCCCATATCTGGCTGCGCTCGTCTGGAGGTGGGACAACATTTTCGCAACGTCCTGTTTGCTTTGCGCAAACAGCAGCACGTCGTCTGCGAATCAGAGGTTTGTCAACGGCATCTCCTGGTCGTCCATGACGAACCCAAAAAATTGTCCGACGCGCCTCCGGTTGAGCCCGTGCCACTTAGTCTTGAGCGCTCTGAAGCAGGACTCCATAACTGCAACAAATAGAAATGCGCTGATCGGGCCCCCCTGCTTTACTCCCCTGGTCAAGCAGAAAGAGCGAGGCTCCGCCCCAGCAGCAACAGTGGCAGTCAGATCGGCGCACAGTTTCCGAAGCAGTCCAATGTAGGATTCCTCGATGCCAAACTCGCGCAGGACATCCCACAACGCCACGTGCTCCACGGTGTCAAAAGCCTTCTCGAAATCGACAAGCCCCAACCACAAATCCTGATTCCACTCGCCGCACTTCTCAACAACCAGCGTTAAAGCGAGAAGATGATCTTCCGTGGAGAATCCTGGGCGGTAGGCCGCTTGATCCTGAGCTTGGCGCGCAATAATAACATCCCGGAGGCGACTGCAGATCGTGCGAGCGAAGAGTTTGTACAATATTGGAAGAATCGCAATAGGTCTGTAATTATTCGGGAGCATTGGGTCTCCTTTCTTAAACAGAACGACCAGTTTCGTGCGTCTCCACGATTCCGGTGGTTCCTTGTCTGGCGGCAGTACTGAGTTGAAAAATGAGAGAAGGCTTTCCCGCAGACTCTGGCTGCTGTTCTTCAACATCTCCGCAACGATGCCGGACGAGTCCCTGCACTTGCCGTTTTTCATGGGCCGGATGGCAGCCGTCAGCTCAGGCATCGTGAAATCCGGTGCAGTCTCGCCTGGCGTCTCGCCAAGATGCAGCTGATCCGCCGCCCCCGCGTAGAGCGCCTCGTAGAAAGACGCAAACATTTCAGCCACGTCCTCTTTCGACTCCTTGACGTTTCCAGAAGAATCTACCACCTCGGCGATGTTCTCTTTTTTCTTGGCTGCCCCTGCGTTTGCAATCGTGCTCAGCCCTTTGAAATCTCCAAGGATGTTCTCAATCTTCGCCGCTTTCTGATTTGCTCTTTTTCTCTGGATCAGACTCCTGATCTCGTGGCTCAGCGCCTTTCGCTTGGCCGCTTTTTGCCCGGTTGTTAAATCTGCAGATTGCCGAAGTTGACGTCGCTCTGATATGAGGCGGCGGATGTCCGCGTCTTCTGGGGCCGTTGTCGGCTTCTTCTCTGATCGCGGGCGCGCAGAAGCAGCCGCTTCCAGCATGACGCTCTCGATCCGGACTGCAGCCTCAGAAGGGTCACCTGCGTTGGCAAGCTGCTCCTGCAACAACTGATCCAAAGACGAATGATAGCTGGCCAAATCTACATCCGGCCCCCAAGCGGACTTCGAAACGGGAGTCTTTCTCTCGATATCTGAGCCGAGAAGCACGCGCGTCCTGAGCGGTCGGTGGTCTGACCCGGTGTCGATGCTCGGCGCAACCCTGCACTTCCTCACTCGCGGTTTCCAGCTGGCCGGAACGATCATGAAGTCGAGTTGTTTCCGTGGCGATCCATTGGCGCACGTCCAAAGCTGCTCTGGATGAGCTGAGTCGAACGTGTTGGCAAGGAAGAAATCGTGGAGGGAACACCAGTGAAGCAGCCGCTCCCCTCGCTGGTTCCGTGCATTGATCGGGTTTGGTCCCAGGATATTGGCCTCGTCATCGTCAATCAGCGATCGCGGCCCGACTTCTGCATTCATGTCCCCTGCAACAATAAAGTGACCAGGAAAGAGCAGCAGCGAGTCCAAACTTTCGCACGCTGCTTCCACGTCAATGTCTGAATATTTGGAATGCGGCATGTACACGCTGACCAGATTTAACTTCGAAGCGTCCCCGGCGAGCGTAAGCATCGCCACTCTCTCAGACACTGCTTTGAAGGATGTATATCCCCATCTGCGGTGCAAAAGGAAACCTACGCCATTGGATCCTTTGGTGCCTCCACTTCCAAACCACGTATGCCCCCCTGCTGTGGTGAACACTTCATCTTTGGATTCCCTCCAAGTTTCTGTGAACAAGAACACGTCCCAGCGTGTGTTCCCGACCTCATGTAATATGGCTTCGAACCTCGTGTCAAAATCCATGAATGAACGAATGCTGTATGATATAATAACAATTTCCACCCCATGCGTATCTGCACAAATGCTGGATTCTTTTGCGTCGGCGCTCGCTTGTGAAAGCCTTGCCGGCGCGCCAGCTTTTGCACCCTGGAAATGTCAATCGCTGTCCGTGGCTGGATCGGGGTCCTGCTTGGCCCACCAATCCTTCATCGACTCATCGATCAAATTCTCCGCGGCTTTTGCCAGAGTCCGGACATGCCAATTGCCATCCTCATCGAACCAAGCAACTTTCTTACCTTTTGCTGTAACGAGCTTCTTCCTCCATAAAATCTCCACTTCACCATCCTTCGCCTTTCCCTCGTTCAATATATGATGCTTGGTGTATCCCGGTTTCTTATCAACTGCTCTCTCGTCCTTTGTCAAATTGTTCCTGAAGAAGAGGCCCCCTATGATGCTGGGGTCTGTGTTCAGGCGGACAGCCTTGTAAAACTTGATCTTCTCGTGGACGGATTGGAACGTTAGGACTCCCATCTTTGCCGGGTTGGTGAACGTACCCACTGTGGCCGCGCAGCCGCCCGGGAGCAGCTTCGAGAGAACGTTCTTCAACTCGGTTTCGATAGCGCTGGACTCCTTCCAGACGGAGAAGCCGAAGGCCAGCACCTGCCTGAGACGTTCCTCGTTCTCTCCTCCTCCTTCTGCTGCTTCTCCCCCTCCTCCTTTTGCGCCTCCCTTTCCGCCCTGTGGTGCAGCTCGGGCCCCTCCTCCATGCGACTCCTGCTTGGTGTGCTTCATCTTCTCCTCCACCACCTCCTCAATCATATTTTGCATTATGTTCTTCATGGTGTCCTTCATCCCCTCCTCCTTCATCGTGCTCTCCCTTACTTCCTCCATCATGCTCTTCACGTTTCCTTGGGTGACCATGTCCTCCAGGTCTAGCTTTATGTTGCCCACCTCCAGCTCCACGTCGTTCAACCTCTCGTCCATGTCATCGGTCTTATCCTTTATCTCCTCAATCTTGACGTGCATATCGTGCATGTTCTCGATGATTTTGTCGAGTTTCTTG